AGAAAAAGTCTTAGTCTAAGTCCTGTGGAAGCGATGTAATTATCAATGGATCATATTAGCTTTCGACGATCTTCGTCGCAAAGTTCATTATTTTTAAATTTTCTTCTTCACAAGTGATGAATTCGTATGGCAAGTAAATAATTCCCAAGAGTAGATAAACAAAACAACTAATTCCGGTAGCTCTACCTGTGACGACATTTTCAAATAATGCTCTAAATCAATACTGAGCGTATTTATGAAAATTGTTGACTACTTGTAAAATATAAAATTTTCCATTGAGCAAGACGTTCTATTGATTTTTAAAAATATATTTTGAAAAAATATAAATCTAATAAATATAAAACAAAATATAAAAAACAAGCCATAATCTAATAATATGGCTTATTGTCGTCCGAATCACAATATAGATCGCTTTACTTTTAGACCAGACTATACCACACGTCCACTTAGCGAAAAATTTTATTCTCGCTATGAAAAAGTGTCTGAAGAGTCTACACCAGAAGTTGTAAAGTACGAAAACGAGATCGAACGCATTCGGTGCCGCGATATTCGATACACCATGAAGTTACCTCGTTATACGAATCAAGTGTATGGCTGGTTGCCCGGGTATAAAATACGTTTTTTACAATATTGTGATAAAAATATTTACAACAGTCCAACTATTAAAGAAGTTCTTAAAAAATTATATTTAGAACATAAATATGATCCATTGCCACCGTATCACGAATGCTCATGTAAATTCTTGCGCAAAAAGCCATGTTTGACTTAAACATTTACAATGAAACTAATGAAACTATGTACGAAAAATAATTAAAATTCAATAAAAGCTTCGTATATATATTTTTCTATTTGTTTTCTTTTTTTTTTAATGTTTAGTTGGCGGATTCATTCGCCCGTTGTGCCCTCCTCCATAGAAGGAACTGCACTTTTCATATATATCTACAATGCATACACCACTGCAAGTTACAAATCAAAGCGTATTTCAGCCTCGAACTTTCTTAAAGACCATCGGGAATTTCAAAGAAGAATTTCACATAAAATCATAAAAGTGTTTGTTTACATTTTCGGTTCAGATGATTCTGGATACAATAAATGTTATAAGTCTTATAAGTCGGTTTCTGTATACTTTAATAATAGTTTCCCGCGGGTTATGCCTAACCTCAAACTTGTCGAATTTCGGTTACAAACGGGAAATCCCGGACGCGTAACAAACGAACTGCTTCCCTTATATTATACTGTTCAAGGACACCCGCTTTTCCGTCCTGCACAAAAATAATGCAATGTCGCAAGACATGCAAAACCAAAAGGAAAACTTCTTTGAAAACATTAATAATTGAAACAAGCAAAAACATTATAGACGGGCTAAGTCAACCTTAAAATGCCACAAACTGCTTAATAATTTTCTTTCGAACCATAATATTAGCAAAAGTAATAAGGTGAGTGGTACGTTTTCAATAGCTTTGATCTTTAAGTCAAACTTCGTCAAAACGTCTTAAAAATTACGACGTGTAGGTTAAAGACAAAAATACGTGGACAGATAGCAAAAATATATAAGACAGACAAACACAAGTAGATTTGAAGAACACGTCTCAGTCGATCGGTATGCCGAAGTGTGTAAAGTCTTTTGCAAATTACGTATGTCACCGCAATCTTAAAATATGAAAAAAATAGGCAGCCAGATGAGCTAATGAAAGGTGAATAGCAAATCACACTTAACACAGGGGACGCAGGTTAACACTTGCTTTGGCGAATGGTCGTAGAAAATGGGCTGGCGCTGGTGCGTCGTAATTGCGGGCGACTTAATGTTGGAACAGAATTGTAGGAACTTTAAGATACGACGGCGGTAATCTGCTGGAATTGGAGATGATAATCCTCGAATATGCAAGCAAGCTCCGCAAAGTATCAACAGCTCCAACTGGACTGGATATCACCTTTGCTACTGATGACATTGTCGTGAGGTGGAAGTGCTCACTGCGCAGCGCTACAGCGCCAGTTCAAAGACATTCTTCGACGTAAAATAGAAGTAGGTGGGTCACGTGACGCAAATGAAAGTAAGCGTTCTTCAGCGAAGACGCTAAAGCACGCTATATGCTAAATAGTAACATTTTTTCTTTTTAATTTTTTATATCATCGAGTATTTTTTATCTATGTTTGTATTTTCTATTTTCAATTGTCAACAAGCGAACGAAATCTGAGAATCAATCCCCAAAGACCAAAATGTAGGTTAGGCACAGTCGACTAACTTGATGCCAGTAAGAAAACCCCTCTGTCGTGTATTCATATTCCTCTCAAATCGAAACAAGGAGATATGATGCATTTTTCATTGCTTATTTTATACCCAAATATTTCTGCCAGAAAACCCGAAGAGCTCATGCGTTCTCGATAAGCTCTTACTCACATTTGCTTCATTATCTATTACAATCTCTTAATATTGTGTTGTTGCACTCTCACAAAGGAAAAGAATTTGACATCATATATAAGTATTCAATGCACAAATCAGTTTTGAAAACCAAAAGGCAGATGTTACTGGGTCTAAAGAAACTGTCGATCTAAAATTTTGCACATGTATATGCTAACTATTTACCCCTTTCAGCTATTCGTCCAAGCTGAAGCAAATGTAATTTTCTTAGTGCTTAGTCAATTGAATAGAAATGGATAGTTCTGTCTACGTGCCCGTGCGTGAGCTTGCATCGTTGAATTTTATTACCCTTGCCAGTTTAATGTTCGCAGGACAGTATATGAAAATATTGGGTTTTCCCGTTATGTTGGCATGGACATAAAAAAGAGTTTTGTAATCGCCATTCACCCTTTTTGTGAGACCGTTCGTTGGCCTTTCGTTAATCCGTGCGTATCTAAGTGGTCGCACATCCTTTTAAGGCAAGATTAATGATTTGCCATAAATTTTCACCTGCAGGATGCTTACGATTGCAAACTATATTATACCTATATGCCTATATATTTTGATTCGATATTTTTTTAAAAGAAATGAACCAAACGAGTTGACTCTTGTATGAAGAGAACAGAAGAATGACTACGTATGAAATGTTTGCTTCCGAAACTATAAGTTTATCTCCTTCACAACTGATCTCGTTTCATTTGTGACGAAACATTGTTAATTTTGGTAAGCAATCATCCAACAACAGCAGTTGCATGCTCCGCCTTCTCTTAAGAACGAAGATTTTCAGCTAAGTACTAATATTTGGAAGTTATTCAAATCGATGTACTCATCGAGTCGTCACTGTGGTTATCACTTTAAAAAATGTATAAAAAATGTGTACCCTCAACATTGTCTTGAAGCTACAGTACAGCGAACAGCAGAGACAATATTTTGCTATATTTGTATGGATCTGTAAACTAGTTTTTCTAGTTCCGCAATATTACAATCGTTTGTAGCTGAAAGCGAACGAATCATTTAGAAACTGATGGCAAATAAATATTGAGAGAGAACATTACTTTTGATAAGGATTAGGCAAATTCTCTTTTTCCAAGTGTTTTTCAACTACTTTTGAAGCGGATTTCATTAAATCAAACCACTTTCTAAAGTTAAGTGTGTATTTATCAAAATAAATGGATTTACTTAAATAAACTAGCATTTAGAAACTCAGTTGACAAAGCAAAGCTGTACCGCGAATAATCCAATGTGATATTTGATGTCTGGGACTGCATTCTAAAAGCATTGCCACAACAAAATTAGTACTATGTCCCGTGGTGGATAATACACCTCTACGCTCTGCTGTTTTATACAGTGGGCAAGTGTAAATATGTCTTTGCTTCAGATCACTACGCTTGCATGGTTTCATCCATATGACCGGCATACGATCAAATAGTTCGCGCGGAAATGATTCAGCTAAACAATTTTCAGCACGATCCCAACGGGCCCCTTCCAAGAATATACCGTAGACGAAAACACCATCATCAGGGGCCGGCACTCCGCCAGTTTGATCTTCCTCCATATGTAAAACATCATAATCAAATATCAATAGATCGATAGGTATCACGTATTTGCGAGCAAAATTCTGCTGAGCGCCCGTCAAGAAAGCTTGGGTGAAAAAGAAGCCGGATAACCAGAAAGTACTCGGAGGCCCTTCCTCATACCATTTCTAAAGCATGATAAGAAATTTGGAAACAATAACAATTATGGGATTCGTTTAATTAATGTTAAAAGTTTTAAGTTAATTTAGAAGTATATTGCAAATAATGTGCACTATAATAACTAAGCAAAATAACAGCTTAATAGCAGCTGTGCTTTCATTATAAAATTCCAAGAACTGGACATTGTTGCCGAATGAACACTTTCGAGGAGTACACTTATGTGCGGAGCAATACTAAAAATATACCGTATCATAGTAAATGTGTATGTCATAGAGAGATCACTAGATTGCATCAACATCTTCTGAGAACTTTTATACTCTCTATGAGAACGTTTATATAGAAAGTATTGTAGTGATCCCATCCAAATTTAATATGCCAAAGCGTTAAAGATATGGATAATTTTTTCCAAACACTTTGTTATGTTGGGGAGCGGTGGCAAAAGTGTAATCAGTCTAACGTAACTACTTGAACAGCTCTTGTTCTTAGACCAAATACATGTTAATGTAGTAAATTTCTTCATAATATTTCGAAACACAAGAACATAGTCAAGCAAGACCGAACTTTAGACAACCCATTCAACTTTACCTATTACAGTCATTCCTGCATTTTCTCAATAATACACCAAAAGATTATATATTATTTCCATAAAAATGCATAATTTCCGTGAAAAGCCTCACATCGGAGGTTACTCAAAACGTCAACTAAAATTTTATGATTTTCCAATTGTGTCCGACCGCAAAATAGATATCGCCACGGAAGAGCGTACTTTCATGAGAATCCCTATACGTGGTGCGATATCACAAATAGGCCTACGTGATCAAATTATCGGAAAAAGTATTTTATCGGAAGAAGTATTGAAAATTAGTCCTTTCTGTTATATGTCAAGGTGTTCAAAACTGGGAATTTCTTTTGGCTCAGGGACGAAAATGGTTCGGATTGGCCCACTTTTTCGGCCACTCGCCGTATGACACCTTATTTTGAACAGTTGTTAAGCGAATAAATCTATTAAGCGACGTTCTGTACGATGGGCCTTGTCCCACTATAGAGTTTTGATATTTTTTGCTTTGTAAAATTTTGAATTCTGATTTTTAATTTCAACCCAAAAATATCTGAGAAGTAAATTTAAAAAAAATCATTTAAAAATTGATGTTAAATAAGAAATTAATAGGAAGCAATATTGAAGTTCTCAAGCTAGGATAGAAGAACGTAGGGTATTCATCTTTATTTTTGGTATTTATATTAGAAGGAAAATATTTCAGCTTTAAAATTAATAAATGATACGAAATTCAAATCAAAACTTCTCTCCCAGTAAATACAGGGCCATCAAAGAAGTTTTTTTTTTTTTTGATTTGGAATAAAAACTAAGCTGTAAACCGTTATGCCATTTTTATTAAACATTGGAATATCCATTTTTGGACACTTCTCAACATAAATCTGCTTTTATTTTACCAATAATACAAATAACGTAGCTAAATAAGTTCATGGTTAAATGGAATACGGAAATTCGCAAACATAACCCTAAAATGTAAAAAGTTCTTTATCGCAAGCTCACATAAGCTTTTTTGTAGATTACACGAACATTGAACTTTTCTCTAGCTCTAATTTTGTGGTTTTGCAAGCATTAACAATTTGGACACGATATAAGCTTTTAGGTAAAATAAAAGGGATAGGATCAACTGCAATACAAACAAAATATGTTAACACCTTCTTTGTACCTGCAGGAAATCCAAGCGTCGTAAGAAATCAGTAACATAAGCGCCCAGAGGCTTTAAACTTGGATAAGATTTCGAAGCCCACATGCCAGGTATCTTGCCGATTAAAATGGATTTATAGACTGCTTCGAAGGCCGCTGACATAACCACGAGTCCTAAAAAGCACAAAGAAATGAATGTTAAAAGTGGGCAAAAGACGTGTTCGTGTGGCAAATACCAATATATTAAGTTTAGGAGTAGAGAGAGAGATTCGTACATAGCAGTGAGTATCGGTATAAATTGAATGAACGATATCCTCGTATGAGTCTTAATATCGTCTCTTACATGGTTTTAATATCGGTTTATGGTAAATTTTAACAACAAGCAAATATTCTGTTGTCTGTTACAGCCTGCTGTCAAAAACTCTTTGAATTTTCATTTTTGATGCATTTGTAGGCTGACCGTTTTTAACGTCCTTTTTTGGGGAAAAAAAAGCTAAGCTAAAAAGCTTATTTCGATCTTTTGTCACAATTATCAAGAATGCAGATACTGCGAAGGGACAAACAGTGTTAAACCTTATACATACATACTCTTCAAACCACTGAATTATTTTACTATACTTTTCAAAGAGAAGTATAGACCACCGATTATAAGTATCATGGCACATAAGAAGTCAGGGTTTGGCAGAATCAAAGCTTTAAGGCACAGGCAATGCCTCAGATCTGTTCTAATTTTGTTACGCTGCCAATCCTCGATTAACTTTAGACAATACGTGGTATAATTCTTTCAATCTTCATTCCTCTTAGTTAAGCTACATTTTTAACATGATTCGTTATATTTTCATATTTTACGTTCCTTCTCTTTCCATTTACGATGCTTTATATTACGCATTGTCATCGATTAATTCTGTTTTTTTAATAAATTGGCAAATCTTGCTAACCAAGCTGCCAGCCAATGAAAACTGTCAATAAAAGAAAATTTTCATATTATTATTTTCTGTATCTGATGAGAACTTTTTTTAAACGAAACCACTTAATATTTAAAATAAAAAACGGGATAAATCATTTCTGTTGAAAAAAAATAGGCATGGCATTTAGCAAACAACTGCGTAAAAGTGGAGGAAACGCACTTCATAAAAGTCGTTATATAGAGTTAGAATTTGAAAACTCAATCGCAATGAGCTCTGCTTCTACATCTACTGACACCGATATTTTTTTCGTTGACTATATTAATAATGAACGACGACCACATTCCTCGTCAAAGCTATTAACAGGCACCGAAGATACCGGTAGCTTATATAATAATGTAGGCAGCAAACGCAGAAAATTAACTGGAGGTGCTACCTAAACAATAATGCAATAAATAAAATGATTTTAATCACCGTTTATGTTTGATACCAGGCGCCGATTCGAACACCGTAGAGGAACTCCCACAAGTTAACATAAATATGGTCAATTTGAAGCTAGGCGACGCCAATACAGTGGCTAGCAGAAGGACTTGTGGAATCCATAAAAAAAAAACTAAAGGCAGTCAAATTCGTGGCACTCAAACTCTTTATCGGTAAGGTCGTTCTCTAGTAATATTCTTTTACAGATGCACGTTATTTAATCTTTTAGAGAATCTTCAGCTCAAACGTTGCCTTTTCTGCCGAGCGTTTCGGAGGATCAACATCAACTAGAGGATACGGAAGTTTTTAAATTGCCCACTATTTTACCCGGTGATGGACCCCCCGGTCTTTATGAAGTTGAAGTTCTAGAAAGGGCTCGTAAGCGTTGGGCATTTCTCAAAGCTTTTAAACTTGATATGCAACGTAAGCAAAAAGCTGCTCGCGAACAAATCCTAAAAGTTAAACATAGGCGCATTCTTGAAGCATTCGAATGGGAGCATTGGATTGAACGTGAAGAGTATATACAAGAATGTCAAATGCTACGTTTAGAACTATTGATACGCATGTTTAATGATCGCGAGCAACGCATGCACATAGCTTCGAATAAACGTATATCAATGAGTTACGAGAAAATTGATCAGCGGCGAAAGGCTGCATTAAAGAAAAATGAAGTAGAATATAATCGGGCGTTAAGAGTATTAAATGTGAAGCATGCAAACCAGTCAAATATGTGGCATAAGAAACCAATTACGTACGATCTGGGCAACACTAATTCAGAATACTATGCACCTAAAATGCGTTACGGTGTTAATCCCAACAGACGTCACTTCAAGGCTTCACGTAAAGCTTTCGATAGACGTATGAATGATTTAGAAAAACAGATAGTGCAAATGAGTTCTGAAGATCTAAAGTGTCCGTTTGCCAAACTTAAAGAATGGTCGAAACCTAAGCAAAACATAAAGGAATATGAGCAGAACTTTTGCTCAGATAATAATCTGAAAAAATTGTACGAGAGCTTAAAAGTTAGTTGAAGTTTATACGAAAGTGAAATATAATATCTAATATTGTAATTTTTTTTTACAATCTAGTATCTACGTCATAGTTTCCAGAAAGATAAATTACAACCGCAATGTCTTGCAGCCAGAACCAAACAAGGAGCGCCGACTGCAGAAAAGGATGAAAGCACACGAACATATGAAATGACTGCTAAAGATTTAAATGAGGAATTAGTTGGCACCGAAGTCAGCTTTAGGCAGATCGAGGAAGGAGAATCGGAGGAGAGAGTGGAAAAAGAACCCACCCTTTCGGAAAAACAAGATGCTGCTAGGCGTAAAGAAGAAATGGATGAATCCGCAGCGCAAATGAAAGCAACGAAATCACAAAATATATTCCTGAACAATGAATTTCGTAACGAAGAATGTGAAGGTCTTACGCAACTATATGAGGGCTCTACCATCGGCTGGCTAATGCGTTTCTTAGGAGAAGAACTGCAACGAGCCGAAGAACAGCGCAAACTTCACTTTTACTGCATGCTGGCTTTAAGAGAGCGATGGCATCGCGAAGCGGTTGAGGCTGGCTTGCGACAAAAGGAGAATTGCATGCGTGCCACTTATGAAAAAATGTATCGTTTATGCTGTAAAGCAGATGGAGAAGTTGCAGAAAAATATTTAGAAAAAATTATTGCCAACGACATTGAGAATTACAGTGCTCAAGTAGCTGAAGATGACGTGATGAAAATGGCCCAGGCAGTAGATAAAGAGGCTGAGAAGTGGTTACAATCTTTCAAAGAAATTCAAAATCCTCTTAATTATGATCAACTAAGATGCGCTTTGCGTGAAAACATCATTCCGGATAAGGAAAGAATCATTTGTGAAAATGAAAGAAAGATTGTAATAAATTACATTATCTACGATATTTTACTTGAAAATACCTTTGAAAAAACGGAGTCTTATGACATTTCAAATTTGATTGCCAATGAAATTATTGATCGCCTAATTGATACAGACCTTTATTATGAGTCGACTGAGAGCAGCTCCATGGATGAGGATCGTGAGGCTGATCAGGAAATTCATGCTATATTGCGTAAGCTTATTCGTTACGCAGTACCAGGTCGACGCTATTTTACGCCCTCGGAACGTATCTTTCGCAATGAAATTTTTGATTTCTTAGATGAAATATTTAAGGAAATCGATGCTAAAGAGCCTGAGTGTCCTAAAGAACAACACGTTATATCTATGGATTCGCACGCTGACGTGCATACAGAATCAAGAGAAAGACAAAGGTACTATTCCTTAGATAGCGATGGAGTACGATTAAGTGAGGTACAAATAGCTGATTGGCAAGTTAAAAATTTGGTGTCCCAGGATTACGGCAAAACATTGCAGCCAGACGAAGAACTTTTGCTTATGGACACGGACCTATTATCGATCGACAAGTTCTTAATGGAATTGATCAGTTATGGAGAGCATCCTGAAGATACTTCAGAACGTCCGCCCGTACGTATTATACCCAGCAGTCATGACTTAGGAAAACTTGAAGACTTTTTGTTTGCACCGGATTACGCACCCAGCGACGACGATGACAGCGTCGTCGACGAATACGAACCAGAAACTGAGGGAAGTGCCACCGCTGAGCTAAGCGAAGACTTAGAGTCTCTACTTCCAGTTTCTGAAGACTTTGAGGCAACGGTCTTTGTTGACCATTACACAGGTAAGATTGACTATAGTGTTATTTCGCTCGTATATATGTAATAAATTGGGATCTCGCCTTTTCTTTGTAATTTTAAAGAAGATGAAACCAATGAAGCTAAAGGGGAAAAAGAAGAAGAGCAGAACGATGATGATCGCACTGAAACTGTAGGCGAAAAGACTAATGAGACCGAAAGAGAGGAAGAAGAAAGAGAAAATTTGGAGGAGAAAAACAATGACGCTCGTGCAGAAAATGGAGACCAGGAGACGGATGAGACCAAAAAAGAGGAAGAAAAAGAAGACTTAGAAGAGACGACCGATGAAGCTAAAAAAAAAAAAAAAAAGAGCATAATGCCGCCAAAAGATTCGGATCATGAATATTCACGTGAATCAGCTAAAGGAGTAAGACCCAAACCATCGATTTTAATCAGACTTTCTTACTCCACTTAGTGGATCGTTTCAATCTGATGTTTGTTCTGTCATGATGCACATATACATTATATTTTTTTTTTAGATTTGTGCGCCCGTACACGACTATACAAATGAATACAAATATATTTCATTTTTGTCTTAAAACTAAAGAAACTTACTTACCCTTAATAGCTTTACGTACAGTTATCAAACTAGTACGTATTGTATTTAAGAGAACATTAAAGCGAGTCATCTCTTGGACTAGAACGGTGTTCATACTTTGATGATAGCTGGTTGGGTAGCGGGCCAGAGCAGCTTCCCGGTCAAAGTCTTTCGGTAAACGGGACAATACGTCACTTGCAACATTAATAACTACTTCTTCAGGCGTTAATTGTGCACCTCCACCCGAGTCGTCACCTGAACCTGAAGTATCCTTGTGAAGGTAGAAAAGGGAAACAAATTCAGGACATTTGGGACAATGGGGAAGGAAAAGGTTCTCAGGAAATTTTTTTGACAAAATTTCTCTATAGTAACGCTGTGATTTTTGCAGAAGCTGCGTAGTTTAACAATAAAAACAGAACGTATGAAGTAAACTCAAATGAAAAGCCATATGACCTAATTTACTTACGCGTTTCTCTTGGAGGTCCTTTTAAAAATTGGAAATAGAAAATAATATTATATATGTCAAGATACTTGTGAAATTAGTACCTACCAGACGATCCTTTTTTTTAATTGCAAACAGAATTCGAATTTTAAAAACAAATTTTAATTATTGCAAATTTAAAAACCATGAAAAATCTACGTAATTCGTCTTTGCCTGCTGCAACCAACAGATACGCAAAAGCAATTGAAATTTTTTTTTTCCTTACCTGTGTTAATAAAGTGTGACTTAGGAGCATATCAGTTTCCTTTTGATCCTTCATGATATCGGCATTAGCATGAAATCCAAATATGGCTGGTTCCGTTTCAAGCGGTAAATCTTTTGTGTACGATAGATAATTGTCCACTTCTTTAAGTGCTGGTATATAATAGATTTTCTTTTCGTCGAAATAAAATGGATTCTCGAGATCTAATACCTCTGGACAATAATAACGATTTAAAATTGTCTTGAGTGTCCGACGATCCCAATCATCGGTAACACGACCACCATAATTACATTCGCCCGTTAGATAACGCAAAGCATCATAATTAACTCCTTCATACTGATCCAAAAACATTTTCAGTTGCATAAGACTTATTCTCAAGTCAGTCTCGTTGAATTCATATGGAATATTCCAACCAATAGGACCAAAGTAACGTCTCTCTTGTATGACGGCGTGAAAGAAACATAGCGAGTAGATCAACTGCTTGAAAGTTTGGTTTTGTTTACATGATTCGTACCATTCTGGGTCAGATATTGGATCGCTTAACATAGAGCGAACAACATTAGACCGTAAACCTTTGGGTGGTTCATTGGTCATTTTAATGCCATTTTGCAATACTACTACAGGGAAATGTTCAGCTGGATATGATGTTAACCACAAACGAAAATCTGGATGTGTAGAATCAGGTACCATACCCTCGCAAATTTTTTCCAGATTTGGCATAAAACTCTTAGCTAAATGGCAATTTTGCAATACGACCCAATTGCCAAGCCTGACACCATCGTCTATCATTTTAACGGCTATTGGACCTTGGCCTTGGCCTAAAGACAATGAAAATAAACGATTCGAACCAAAGCCTTGCTCATCTGCGAATTTCAAGAGCGTCGCCGTTGGATCAGAGCCCGGTGTTAAAATAAATATCAGTGGTATGCAACAGTGAGAATCAGCAAACGAAGCGCTTAAATCAAATTGCGGGGGATCCACATATTTTTGGCCCATTTCATCTAATTTCGTAATGAATTAAAATTGATTTTTTATATGAAAGATATTTTCACTTACTTGAAACAAATGCCAATACACCTGGTACCAATTTATCTGGCCTCAACACCCGTAATATTAGCAGCATTTGAAACATGGAAAGCTTAGCCGACCATGGCTCTGGTATGCTGTGATTATCTTGTGGGGTAGGCGAGTCAAAAAAAGCTTTCCAAAGTGCTAAATTTTGTTCTATATGTTCGCGGAGTCCTTTAAAATTTGGCAATTCTGATAATCGACATATTTCATTCCAACTCTGCACACCCAACCACTTAGCCGGATTTTTATGGGGATTATCTAAACCGACACCACCCGTTAAAAGGAATAGCCATTCCGCGTTTTCAATACGATTTTCAGATTTCATCAGATTAATATTCAAGATCAACGAAAACAAAAGCTTATCCTGAAATTAAAACGCAAGATTTTATGGAAATTATATTAACACACGCGTACGCTGCTCATGTACAAAAATTAAAAATACAACAACAATTTAAAAATTTACATTCGGTCGTGCCCGAATATTTTATGCTCATTACCGTTATCATAAAAAAGAATAAAAAAGAAAAAAAACTAAATCTTCATACTCTATAATATCGGATAGCCGCAGATGATTTTTCCTATTTTCAGAAAAAAGGTGATCTATTATGTGATCTATTATTTCGAGGTAAACCAGTCTGCTTACCATTTATAATATATTCTTCCCAATAACGCACAAGTTCCTGTTTTAAATAATATAATTGCAAGCGTAACATGCTGCGTAGGCATGAGCGTTGCACTCCATAACTGCTGTATAATAGATATGACAAAATATGTCCACATCTGCTGTTGTTGTTTACATATTCAACAGAAATAGCGCACAAGTTGAATAAGTATTAAATAAAGTGAACGCAATGGACCACAAAACATTATTTAAATTTGGACCTACTCTAGATGAAAAAGTTTGCAATCTTGTAGTTGCAGCGTTTAAAGCTTGTTCGATATCTACATTTCCAATGAGCAAACATATTGCAGCGGCTCATTTCCACTATAATGGCTTGCTATGAAATGCCTTTATATAAAAAATATATTTCTCGAGAAAAGTCGGTGAAATGTCTCAGTCAACAACTTGGAGCCCTTCGAACTTTTTGGAATTAATAACTTTGCTGCAGCTTAAGTCTTACATCGGCAAAAGCGGCTATTGTTTGCTGAATAACCAACAAAATACAAGAGTTTATAGCTTAGAGGGAAAAAGTTATTGAACGTCTAAAATCCATATATCATAAAAAAAATGTCATGTTAATGTTAATCATTCACTAACTAAATGCTTCACTTTTCTTAAACATTTTCTCCAACATAACACACAACGCCAGGTGAAGTCTTGGTCCTGCAATCAACTGAAGAAGTTGCATGAAAGGTTTCCTGTATATGTAAGTGAGCGTGTTATACGCTAACACTTTCTAAAGACATTTGGGATTTCAGACACATATTCAGAATGTTGAGCACCTGGGAAATAAAAACTGTAAAGCTTCTTACGGGAAGCACTTATTTTTTATTTTATTTTTTTACGTGACTCCTGTAACGTACGACGCATTTTGCGACCCGCCAATTTTAACAGAAATAATGTCTGTTCTCATTATACGCATCGCGGACAGAATTGACCAAACTTGTAAAATGTGGAAAGCTGAAGTGAGTATTAAAATCGACTTAGAACTTTAAAGCAGGTCATGGTGTAAAGAGCGCTACTGCCATGCACAGTGTTTAGGTGAATAAGTTGCAAGTAATTAGTTCGCAATATATGTATCACGCTTTCGTTGTCTTCTTGCTTTCTTAATCAACTGATTTACGTTCCACATAAAGCACATAAATCTTATCCCGCTAGTTGATATTAAATATTTAGTATGAGTTTATAGTTTACATACCCGTTCAAATAAACTGCGACATATATTGACATAGAGACTGTAAGTGAAATGTGTTCGCAAATCAGATAAACGTTCTGCAATATCATCTACTTTGTCCGTATTATCAATGGATGATATAAACAAAGCCACAAACCAAGCTAAACTGTATTGATACATAGGGTCAATATTGGCCAAATCAACTGAAAATTTCGAAAAAATCCTAATGAAAGCATAAAAGTAGTATTTTATATAATGAGATATTTACCTATAGTGAAGAAGAGAATCGTAGAGTGTTCGGCTATGGGTACGTAACTCAAGCGGGCAATATCGATTTGCTTTTCTGTGGCTTCGGTAATAATTTGCTTCTCACTGATCTCATTAGCCAAGACTTTTGAGGAACTTAGTATCTGCACAGCGGTCTCGTCTTCCAAAATATTGGCAGCCGATGATAATACTTCAAGAATTTTGTCTTCCGTCTCTTTTAGCATACGCTTGTTTTCAGCACCTTGCACAATCAAATTATTCTTTTCCGCTTCTAAATCTGGTCGTTCCCTGGCTACTGTTATGCCCAGCAATTGATCTTGCAAACCTTGAGTTGTGATCATAAAATTAAGTAAGGTCACCTTGACAGCTACCTCGGGCAAATAGTGAGGATTACGCAACTTGGTAGTCATATAAAATCTAACAGTACAAGAATTATTACAATATTAAATACAAAATAAGAAGTCTTCATTTGAATTCGATGAGCCCTTTATATGTTACCTATAAAAATTGCAAAAAATGTTTCGTCTTCGCAAAGAAAAGAAGCCAAGTCTCCTATTAAAACTTACCTAAAGTTGTGATTGTACTCAATCACCGTGTCGCCTAATTTTATACAAAGAGCGCCTCCTTGCTTAAACAGCTGCTTCAATAATACTGATTCCAGAATAGGATCTAATTCCTCACCAATATTTTCTAGTAAAACTGGTAAACCGAATTGAATAGCATTTTCCATAACGCGCGTATAATCGGGTTGATTAAGACGTATAACACAGAGGCGATTCGCTTTTTCCAAATTCTTTATCCATTTGTTAGCTTGACCTTGGGGATCTATCATCAAAGGCCAACGGCGAGCATTTCTGAAAAAGAATTATTAAGGAAATAGGCGCAACTGTAATGTAAAAAAAAATTACTAAAGCCATCTACTGAAGCAAAAGAGAATTTCAAAACTGTCAATCTGACATCCAAAGATAGTCAAATTTTAGCGATTAAAGAGCCAGTATCTTTTGCCATCTGCACATGAAGACACTGTGATTTGGAATTAGATTTTGTTTACAGTATGTTAAAACTTTTACAAAAACACGTAACTGTTCTAATGGTAATGCATTCAAACGATAAGTAGATAAGTAGCTTCAAGGAGGTCGGTAATGACAATCGAAAGCTACATAGGAAAAAAAACAAAAATTGCAATTATCTGAGGGAAAAAGAATGTTGGCATTGAATCTGCCGCTAAGGCCTTAAGAAAACAAGTTTTGTTGTAAGCCTCAACATCATTCCCATTTTCCTTAATTATCCGCGAACAGCACTACTTTCCTTTTCGCAAAACTTCCTATTTGGAAGTAACAAAAGTTGCTACTCGTTTTTTTGTTTTAAACCTCCATTCCAGCATTGTGGGCATACGTGTTTGTACGTGTAAACATATTCAGAGTTAGTAGACAAGAAAACTCCATTTTAAGGTATATATTTCACCGATTATCTTCAAATTCCCGATCGATCTGTGGTGCAGAATGTAGAAGATTCGGTCACATACGAATATAATTTTCTTGCTTTTTAAAATTCGCCAAAGTATTGTAACATTATTTTTAATTGGAACTATCTTAGTAGTTCTTTGATGATGCCACATGCACGCGCACACACAATCAAAAACTCTTATCTTTACTTTTACTCACTTCATCATAATAGCACTTTCCACTGAGAAAGCATCCGTTGGCAAGCCGCAAATGTTCCAATTGCGTATTTCTACTGCTTCGCCCAATACAGTGACCAATTGAAAATCTTGACTGCATACGACACCGAACGAAGCACATTTTTCAGCCCACTTGCGTATTTGATCAACACGAAAGTCAATCGTGAACGGTCCAAGATAGGACACTACCCCAGATGCGATAAGAACGTCACCTGTTAACGTGTTATAAACACGTCCCAATTGGCGGGCTGTTTCAGACCAACGAGTGCGTTCACCACCCAATCCCGAAATTAGCTCTTGAGCTCGCTGTAATTTTTTTGTACAGGCTTCGTGTTCAGCTTGCAGTGTTCTACAAAAAAGAAAAGAATGAAAGTGAAAGCTTTCGGAGATATAATTTAAAAAGGATGAAGTAATTTACCCATATTCTCTGAGTTGTTGGTCCAAAATCCTCTGAATGGCGGCCAAATTTGCTTCAACCCGCGCCAATTGTGCAAGTTTCTCATCAAGAAGTTTCTGTGCTGTTTGGTATGTTGCCTCTGCTTTAGCTAAGGCTATTTTTTTGGGTGCTACAACTTTGGCAACCACATCGTATTTAGTCAAAGCCAGAACCCAACGGCATAACCCTTCACAGGCTGTCGAAGCTAATTTCACTTTATCCGGGTCAAAATTTTCATTGTTTAAGATGCGTTTATGAAGTTTTTCCATAACTGCTACTGGTATGTTGTCCTTATCGAAATTCAATAACCCGTCTAAAAACTTAATATCGCTCAAAACACGTTTTGATGGTCCCCAATAATCTTCAATGGTTCCCACACCACTTGGGTTCGGTACTTTTTCTGGCTTAAGATCCTTTAAAATGCAAACGGCTTCCATGACAATACGCACCCCGATCGGTGGGCTTTTCATCGTCTTCACTACCGCAATATCGGCGGCAGTTAAAGTATTCAAAGCAGCTAAAGCCGCATTAAGAATGGGTAGAGCCTCACCTAGTTTTGCATCGCATTCCTCTTTGATGCCCATAGCCACAGCCGCTTGTTCTTTGGCAGCCGCTTCATCTTGTTTAACCAATTCCCGTTGTTCCGCAGCTGCTTTACTATCCTCGGTAACTTTGGCTACTTGAACCGCCACAATTTCTGCAGCCTCTTTCAACTTTGGCTCCAGTGCCGTCAATTGTTCTTGCATAACACTGACTTGTTGTGCAGCGATATCTAATTGGGAGATTCCAGTCAAGTACCGATTCTTATTCGTCATAATAGTACTAAAGAAATATTATAAAACGTAAGCTAAAATTTTTATTTTACAAAATTTTGAACTCACTTTCTTTTCCTATTCAGTAACTCCTTAAAAGTTTGTATAAGTTCCAAATAGGATGTAGGTGTCACATAATTACGTCGCTTCAACCGTAAGTAGAATATTTCAGCTAACTCCTGTGTGGAAGTGTGAAACTCCATGCACATGTCTATGGAAGCCTTTCTTTCTACAGCTGTGAGTTCTTCTTTCTCTAGAAACCTAGTACTCACTGCTAACAAAGCATCTTCAGGCCAAGCCTGAAACCAGTCGATGGTACAACAATTGACTACGGAAGGAAATTTACGTATACGCATACGTAGCGAGTCACCAATTGGAGACATAGCGAGAACAATATGCAATTGATCTTTGCAAGTCTAACAAAAGATCAAAAAGTTAAAGATACACATGCCATTGAAGAGGTTCATTACATACAGTAACAAAGAAGTTAAACAAAGCGACTGGACTTCCGTCTGTTTGTACGGCCTTATCTCGCTGTTTATCGATTTGAGCCATTTTTTCCACAACTTCCATTTTCTCTTCATTGCTAAAGAGATTCGGTACTTCACCGGAATTTAAAAGATTATTTATATCCTCTAAAAATGATTCGTCTTTAATCTATTGGAAAGATTTTTTTTTGAATTTTGTTTATTTTCAACACCTCAATGGACATTTCCATTACCTGAACATCGGTAAATAGGAAAACACCGTGCAATTCTGAAGAACTTATTTTGCGTAAGATAACTTTAAGATCTTCATGCCATTCATATGGCCCATATGATCGAGTGATCTCTACTTGAAAGAGTTCATAGTCACATATATGCGAAGCCAAACGGGTCAAGCTCTGACGTCCGGAGCCACCGACCCCAATTAGCAGAGCATGACTGCGTGGCTGCTTTAATATGCGACATATTCTCGATAAATGTTCCACGGCAAAGCGGAAGAGTACCAAATTCATAGGTTTCTTCGACATATTATTATACTCAACTAAAAATGATTCCACCACCGAACGTAACTCTTCCAAATCAATTACCTCTATGTATTGTTTGCTATCCGCTTTCGGATTTGCAAAGTCACAGTAAATAAGTCGACGGAAATCTGCTTCGGTGACCGGATGACCTTTGCTAACGAGACGTGCAAACAATACTTCTGCTGAGACATCGAAACTCAGCCGAACTTGATCGCATACGGCAGTGAAAAGCCAAGTTCGATCTGAATCTTCAACCAAACGATCACCGTAAACACGAAATACTTCATGAACCCACAAACGTCGCATGGAATTTATATCCTCCATGGCCTCAGGTACCGAAAGGAGGACACCTTGAATGACACGCGAAAAGTCGCGCAGATTAAAGAGATAATGAGACTTGGCCGGTGTTGGGAGCAGATTTTTCTTGGCCGTATTATAAATATGTAAAGTAGCATCAACGATCTCCTCAATGCAGGGATCGAATGCCTTGGAAAATCCTCTACATTTTAAACCGAATTATAATTATGAATTCTATTTGATTAGTAGCATTCAGTGCTATTACCTTGTATCTAAATGCCAAAGAACGATTTTGCTAAATATCCCACGTAAGATATCGTCGTTGAACTCATCAATCGCCAGTACATTGAAATGTCTTTGGAAACGCGGCGTAACCGTATTGCCAGTCGAGGGAGGACCCATAGCACAAATCATTTGCAAGTCGATCAATTTCATAGGTATTATATTTTTTAGATCGTACCACATCCAATGATCCATCATCATTCGCAAGAGTTCTATAGGTGGTTGAGCCCCGTAAGTCTCTTTCAAAGGCATCGAAACGTCATCCACAAAGATCACGAACTTTTTATTGAGTGGAGGACCGAAAACCCCCTTACGACGTTTATCTAATTTTGACATGATTATGTCTTGAGTTTGATTTGCGGATGTTTGGGCCGAAAAACTAATTAGTAAAGGCTTATAAACACTCAAATCCATTTTCTTTAACATATAATCAATGATATAACAGCTTTTGCCAGTACCAGTGGGACCGACAAACATGACCGGTTTTCCGTGTCGCACCAATAGATCCAGCAATGCAGTGCATCGAACATTTTCATTTGTTGTAATTATTATCTGATTAACGGGTATATCGCGTGGAATTGGTGGTGCAGCTGCAACATCGTCTTGCCAGGGTCGCCACTTACCTTTACCTTCTTTAATGAAACGATAATCAAACACTGAACCTTGTTTAGGCATGGGAAAAATGAAAGGCTTCGATAACGGTTGTGCTTGCAGATGGTCCGGTATGCCAAACGTTTCGTACAGAGATTCGGGAAAATTCTTTTCCATTAAACCGCGAAACACGATATTAAACTTATCCCGACTAGCGGAATCTAAAGAACCGCCCAAAGCCCAAATACACGAAAATAGAAATACTCCTTCAATTTGCGCTCTCATATCAATATCTAAAAGGTTTTGCACAAATTTCTCATCTCTGAAATCGTCCAAGAAACAATCAAAGATATTCATTAAGGAAGCCACCAGATTACTATCGGAGGTCGGAGCAATTTCTACCAACGAACATTTTCGTACCACGAATAAAAGCAAAGGGCAAAACCTGTGCATTAAGTAGGTAAGTAACTGTTTGGCGACAGCATGAAACGAACTAGGCAATTTGTTCTTCCAGGACGTAAACAAAGGGTCCCATCCTAATGAACCAGGCTCTAAATAAATCATTCCGCAACGTGACACTGTAGCAGGTGAGGCCACTTCTAAATCCATTGGCTCAAATATTAGATTGGTTGTGGGAGAAAGTTGTATAATCTCACCCGACATCAAACACAATTTTTTGTTGTCATCGAGTACTGTGTTCATATTTTCAATCCAAATCGCATCGACAGGACCATCAAATAACAGCCATTTACGTTCGGGTGTATCAGATACTGCAAATTGTCTGTAGAGAACAGCTAAAACGCCGTCGCTCCATTCGTGAGAGACCAAGTCGAACTGACCGTACAACTGTCCCATGGTAATTGCTTTAGGATTCATAACGCTATAAATAGCACGATTTTCCGCACCACCCTACAAGATATGATATAAAAAAGTAGCATGAAATAAAACTAACAAAATCGTGTTAGATTTCTTACTTTCTTCTCTATACATTCCAAAGTATCTGCCAATATGCGGTATGCAGTAGTTTTGCCTCCAAACGGTAAACCTACCAGCATTAAACCATGACGTACCACAATCATTTCGTAAAGCTTTAGACAAAGGTAAAATGATCACAAATATAAATAACCAAATTTCCGGAATGCAATCAGATGTCATACCTGCTGAACTTTTTCCAAAAAAAAGTCTGTGCATTGTGTATTATTCTTCTCACAAATTTTATAACAGCATTCATTGAAAAGTACGTAGTCTGGTTCGGGTAAAATAGTGCCCGGAAACAAATCCGAAGTAATGCCTTGAAATAGTGGCACATCCTGATTGAGAAATTTAGGCAAGTTTACGTCCTTAATGGAACGCAGTACTAAAATATCTTCATTTTCATCACGATAACGCAATTTAAGAGCACCAGCTGCTTTCAGAACAGATTTCACAGCGCGCATGCCGTAATCGTAGTGGCTTTGGCTACTCAGTTGTTCAGAACACAAACGATAAGTAGCCACAATTTTAATAGAAAGGGGCTTAGCACTTAAAAATCCGTATGAATAAAGTTCAATTTCAGATATAAGAGCGTAATCGGGCACCATCATAGCCACCGAACGGAAGAGAGCCTAAAATATGAGAAGAATTGATTACATGCTGGAGGCAATTTACATTTACAAATTACTTTTAGGTTATCAGGCAATTCCGAACGACCAGCATAGCCCGGGTTCATAGTAATAAAGCATGCACATGTCGGATCCAAAGTTAGGGTCGTACCTTCAAAGACCAATGTCGAACTGCCAGAATTAATACCGCGTTGTATCGTTAATATCTGCTGAGCTACCACAGACAAGACTTCCAAATCGATGCGATTAAATTCGTCAAAGCATGACCATGCACCACACGAAGCTAAACCTTTAAAGAATTTTCCTAAGGCCAAATAATCCAAACCATCAGAGCAATTGAACACAACACATTGCTTTGCTACGGCTTTCGCCAAATCTTTGGTGGTTTCGGTTTTACCAGTACCGGCGGGACCCTCAGGTGCTCCACCCAAGTGCAAATTCAAAGCACTAAACAAGGTGCGATAACAACGATCGGTTAAAGGGGTTACCACCAGACGCGTTGTATTACCCAAGTATTCATAACCGTATTTCAAGCCACAATTAATCATACGCGTATCCAAATTATTATCCTCCCAATAATATCGCAGCTAAAAAGCAAAGCATATTTAATTGGAATCGTGGTACTCATCGGATTGCTGCCGAAGGCTTACCTGACATAACCACTGAAAGTCATTAAGATCGGTGACTTTGTTTTCTACAATTTCTGCTAAGACATCACGAGCGTGCACATCCAAGACAACTAAGGCTCCTAAAGTTATACGATTTTGGGTACTCAAGTCGCCTCTAACTAAATCCACAATGCGCGCTATCTATAAGTTTTTATATATTATATGTGAAACCGTCTGGTTTCAGTTGCAGGGAAGGATTTATGTGCTTTGCGTACCTGTTCTTTATTCTTTTGCAAATATTTTTCCAAATTCGCTGCAGGATCATCCGTTAGAAAACATTCCGTTATTGACAGAGTCCAATATGTCAAGGAAATCGATTGCACACATTGACCGGGCCAGACCAATACCCATTTATGGCGTACACTTTGTGGATAGCTATAGAAGGCCTCACTCATTTTCATATGTATGCTCTTCTTCATGTTTATCTCTAATTCCAATAACCATTTCTCTACTTGACCACGGGCCTTTGCAGTGGATATCGCTTCAACTAGCTGCACTTCTTCACGTTCCGATGAACGCATTACAGTAACATCCAATTCTTCTGTGAAATAAAGCGTGGCGATGCCCTCAAAGCATTTTTTAAGATGAGGTTGTACGCGCGTCGGATCCTTAGTTTCCGACAAGATCTCGAGTAACTCATCATTCGATAGGAAGAAGAATCGTGGAAAGTATAAACGTTTCTTCTCAAGATACTAAAAAAGAATGCATAGAGTTTGGAATGAAGACTTAAACTAAGCTTTCAACTTTTTCAAATGTACTGTCACTTACTGCATTCAGGCCTTTCTGAATTATCTCTAAAAGATTAAAGGATTTTTTCAATCTTTCACTCATTTTGTCAATTTCCACCACCGACATAACAGCGGGATCTGCGTTCACTTGCTTCATGAGTTCTTTCCAGGTCTAATAATTTAATAAAAACAAGAAAACTTACATCGAAGATGAAAAATTTATTTGTCTTTTTTTTTTGGACGGATACGAATGGACTTGAAAGTAACTTAAGTGCTGTAAGCTTAGGCATATTAAAAATTACAACACAGAATTCGTGGATTCTTCTCAATGGTATCGTTGTCAACCTAGAATTTGCTTACCCGCCGCTGAGGTTACAAAGAAAAATTTTTGCTTTGTTTCAAAATTCATGATGGCTTGCTGCTGCTATACTTGTCAGACGTTCGAGCCTCATAAAAAGCAACCTTTGCGCATCTTTTACATAATCAAGGCATAAAAAGAAGCAACAAGGAAAGCCTCCGCAAATTACTGCATTCCCTGAAGAAATACGTCTGCTCAATTTACTAAAGCTCTTCTCGAAGTCCTGCACGCTGCTAATTGTCATAAAAAGTCTTAAAAAATAGGAACACTACTGCTTGCTCTAATCTTGTTTTTTACATAATTAATTATTAATCGCACGTAAACTAAAGCAATGAAAGAAAAGTGACATCATGAAGAGGTTCTATGTTTTTTATATTGGAAAATGGCGCGAAAGCTCTCCACTAATTTTCTTACTGACTTTCTTATTAACTTTAATTAATCATTAGATGTACCTTATCCACAGCGCTAAAACGCCTGCCTTCTTCTGGCATTTGTTGCTGAATATCCGGACTGGAAAATATAGGTTCTAAATACATCCAAGTAGCTTGCACTTTAATCCAATCGTCGAGGATATCTTGTAAAAGCATTAGTTTTGCTTCCCATTTTCTACAACGAGAAGGAAATTATCAAGAACACAACTTTAAAACTTATTTACTAACAGTATTTCGCTTTCGAATGGTTTTATATAAGGGGAACTTTTCATGGTCAAAGTCTTAATGATTTGATCATCCAAAAGAATTTGTATATCATCCACTGCCGACAGCTTGTAAGTACCTGAGTCTCTATAATAAAGAAATTATACAACATTATTTGCTCTTGCTTTAAAGTAACATTGTTCATATTCAAAAACATACCGATACGGGCTTATAGAAAATGAAACATCTTCCCATTCAGAGGCCATTCGAATTAAGGCTCTTTCCAGGTTATTCTCCTTGGTAGCACTCTCCGAAATGAATTCAAATTTGGGCACATATTCTTCTAATTGATAGTCAATAATGCGCGCTAATGTTAATTCTGGCGTGACTTTGATGGGGAAGCCAACAATCTCGGAAACCTGTTCCCAATGTCTAGCTTTCATACCCGGATTGCCCAATGTACTAATAATTGGCATATTTTCCCGAAATCTTTCAATATTTTCTTTGATCTAATAAAAGAATTGAGCTTAAAAAGGGGTTTGACAAAACGAACGACATTTCTTACGTCTCTTATTAATTCCGAGGTATGTGGACGATCGCTTAATTGTTTTTCCAGCTTTTGTATAATACGATATATGCTTGAAACGTCTTCAGCTATTACATCCGGTTCATATGAGCCTATCTGTGAATTCATCCATAATTCACTCTTATCGAAGAACTCTTGCCCAGCATCGTATAATGTTTTGTACGGTTTCAGTAGATCGTGAGTTTTTTTACGTGTAGGATATTGCGTTAAATCCCAACCATAGGCGGTTTCTTCTTCATTAATATGATCGACAGTGTCCATGGCTTGCACCAAGCGAGCATCCAAAATATTAGCTTTACGTTTATACTTGGCCAATTGTTTGATATCACCCCATTCTGGATAGGTTTGTACCTGTTCAAAGTATGTTTGCAGTTCACGTCTAAAAGCTTCGATGCGTTTTTTTAACGATTCCTGATAATCAATAACCTTATCGGCTATTATAATACGATGCTCTTCAAAAATAGAAGCCATTTTCAGATACCATTGAATGGTCGTGCTGTTGGCTTTTATTTGAAGCGGGGAGAAAAGTATGTTATCCATAAGCCATAAAATATGAGACATATTCACGCGTAGCCGTTGTTCCATCTCTGGCACGAGATTCTCTTCGGCGTTGATTACATAACTCTTAAGACTCATCAGTTCGGCCGTGTCTTTAGGTATAGTTAATGCTTTTTTACCTATAGTTTCATATTCCTTACCTAAGCTGACAATCTCCTCTTGTTGATCCGTAATCATTCGATTCAATAATTGTGTTTGCATATAACTAGCAAGTTCCTCGAGGTTTGATATGAATCCCTCACGATGAAAGTCGAACAAACCCATTCGTATCGCGCCAAAAATGTCTCTGGAAATTTGTTCGCCTTTTTCACGGTAATAAAAAACCATTTCGCAATATTGGTCAAAGCTTGGCCCAGATTCTATAAAGTTTTGTACATTCTGTGAGTCGACTCCGTTCATCAAATTAATATATTTATCAAAGTCTTGCAAGCGTAATTCGGGACCAATACGTTGCTCTTCAAGCAATTCACAAATCCGATTACGTTTATCGGTTATAATTGATTCGGGTATAGCTGGAGTTAAGGATAACTTCGTTGCGATGCGCAAATCTGTGTAAAGCATGGTTTCGATGCGATTCATATTCTGCACACCTAATACTATGTTTTCGAGTAAACGCAAAAGTTCTGCTTGAAATTTCTCAAAACTGGGATTAAACCGTATGACATCTTCATCCTCTAGCATAACCGATAAAACAAAACCCGGAAAAGTTTTCTAAACGAAAGCAAAGCAAAGTTACTTAAAAGTTCATTCATGTCACGTTTTCCTAAATATTTTTATTACCCCGTAATTGCATATTAAATTAACAAAAGCATTAATGCTGCGTATACACATGTCTTCTAACTGCTGTGTCATTAAAGCGGCAACACAATTAAAAAAACATTTTATCAACTTTTTACGCCGCACGTCCGGTATCATTTTTCGCCTACTGGCGTTTAACAAAATCGAATGAATTTCGCCTTGCCAAGCCGTAGCCAATTTCTCCTTCATAGTGCTCGCCTGATGACCGACGCAATTCTAGAAACAAAATTTTAAAAAATATTTGAAAATGAGTATTGAAAAGCACAGTCCTTACCGAAAATTCATATAAATCATAAGGTCTTTCAGCACTTTTCAAAGCTTCGATATCCAAGAAGGTTTTGTCTTTATATTGGGAATTCCATAGTTCCAAAATATTAGCCACACTGCGATGTATGCAGAATAGAAAGGTTTTCAAACGACAGCGATTCTCATCATAACTTGGAAAATTTGGAAAAAAAATATTTGAATTTTTATATTAAAGTGACTACGAAAAATATATTCGGTCGTGACGGAATCTTTTACCCATAACCGTTATCCTAGAAAAGACAAAAAAAAAAATAGATCAAAGAGCTCTACAATAAGAAGTGGGCGAGACTGATTTTTTTATTTTCAAGATAAAAGTTTTTGTCAAATGTACGAGTGGACTTAGTAGGCGTGTCCTTTGAAAAGTTTTGGTCATTTCCAAATTCTTTTCCAAATTTTGTAGGCGATATCGGGCAAACGTTTGTCACAGACACTACGCGGTTGGGCGGACGGACGGATGGACATTCTTAGATACATACCAAATTTGAAAATGTCCAAGAATTTATAAATTTTATAAATCTTATGGGATTTTTGAAACTTATTTCTGCGAGTTATAAAGGTATTTAAAGAAAAATAAATGTTAATATTCTATAATATTAGGCATCGCCCGCAGAATATACTTTTTGTATATTTATCTGCTATAAGTTTATGAGTAATGATTAAAAATATATTTTTTATTTCTTTTGAAAACAGAGATGTTCGCAGTTTATCTGGTGCTGCAGCCGTGTTAATTTTCTCGTGAGAGTTCTCCTTAAAGCAATCGACCTACCTGATCATACTCATTCTACTCTAAATGATTTAGGCAATTTCAGACTAATTGTAGGTTTCGAACTTTTACGAACTTTTACGGATTGTGTCAAGTTTGTAAAGCTTCGTAAAATTCTTTTGTAATCCTTGGAACAGCTGAAGAAGAGTTGATTATGGTGAAAGGCGTGAAGCAATGCTTTTTCAAGGTTTTGGCACTTTAAACTCGTGCAGCTACACTTGTTGGAGTGGTGTTTTTTATTGTCGTGCTTTCATCAAGACCAACGCAATCGCTTCATGGAACTTTGCTCTTAGCAAACGCAACAACGACAATTGAAACATTTTCTCCGCGAGCAAAAGGAACATTAACAAATGCTGGATGAAAATTTTACTACTATGTACAGTGCACAAGCTACTGCTGAGTTAATTAGTCGCTGCTAAATAGCAGTGGAGTGTCTATCTGGAATCCCTCATAGAGCACTCTTTACAAGTTGTGAAAGAAAATTGTTGTTTTGCTGACTGCAGATCAGTTTTGTTCTTTACAACTAAAAGAGATTCACTCTATACCAAATAGATAAATAGGTCCCATAATCTAATCAGGTTAGGTAACAACCTGTATGCTCCTTTTAGTGCTCGCAATGATGCTTGTCTTGGGGGGCTAACTTTCTTAATTAAAGTGGCCAACCTATCTTTCTACCTAACTAATTTTCAAAAAAAAAACTTTCTCTCTGTTTTCTTTACACAAAACAAGACTTTTTTAAAAGTAAATTTAAAATTTGTTCTCTAACATACCGATAGCGCCATTTATTGTACATTGCTTTCGCTTCTTTACGTTCTTTAGTTATTTTAATTTTCGATTTTTTTTTCGCGCTGCTTAAGGAATTTTGTAAGACAAAATCGACTACAGCTTTTTTCATTGCGAACAAATAATCAGATTTGATTTCTTCGATAGTCTCTTGCAAAGCTACAGCCCATTTATTTAAATAAGGCGGTATTTGATTGGTTATCCTTAAAGCGGAAGATAATAAATTCTTAATATACAATAATTGTGAGCATAAAACTAAAATGCGCTTACCTAGTCAACACTTTTTGGCTCATGGGTGCTACATGGATGGTATCGATACCATGTTTAATGTAATAATAATAACGCAAAATCTCTTTCTCTTCGGTGTTGGGAAATTCAGCGTCTAAATCCGTGACACTCGGTTTCATGTCTGCAGTGTTGGGACGCGCAATTAATTCTACCAATTTCTTGCGAAAATTTTCCCTTTCTAAACGCATTTGCATATACGAAATAGGTTCTGCGGACATTAAGATTTTTAGTTAAAATAAAATACTTACTTATTTACTTACTCTGTTTCCTCTTTTGTCGTCTAGCTAGTGTACGCATAGGCTTAGGATGGTGAAATAAGCCAGGCGGTAGTGATGATGACAACATTTTACCATCCAATATGTCACTGGTACACTCGGGCATATTAAGTTCATACCATAAACGCCTTGCATTGTATCGAGTATTGGCCTTAGAACACAGTATGCTATGCAGAACGTCAGGTTTGGGACGATTGTGAACAAATCTAAGATTTGCACAAGCCTTCTTATTTGCGGACTCTATGAAATCATAAGAAATTGTGAGTAAATAGTTAATAATAAACTATTAACGTTTTTAAAATTGGAAAAAAATAAAAGCGAAGGCACTATGCCCACCCTCAAATATGGGCACAGTAGCTTGATCATTCATTAATATAAAAAGGCAAGTCAAATAGGTGGCTAAGTTGTAGATTAATGCTTCAATATTTAATGTAAAGTAAATGGTGTCAATTGTTTGCCTGTAGTATCCACATATCGGTCCATGTCATTATCATTCCTTTCTGTCGATTCAAAGCCATCAATTATATTATAGAGTTAAGGAAATTAATAGATTTGATAAGTACGCTTTATGGATGAGTCGTTTCTCCGTCTAGAAAAATGCCTATTTTCCGCTTTTCAAGAAAAACAAATATATCTTTGGTTCTCTAGCTTATTATTGATTGAAACAAAAAAAAAATACAGCACCTACACTCTGGATCGTGAAAAAAATTTCTCCTGCCATCTAGACTTAAATTTTTTTAAACGTTAGCAATTATTAAATAGCGAAGACATAGACAATTACTACATTAAGTGCATCACAGAGATATTGAAATCGCACTATTGTGTATGAGTTAACGAAACATTAACTTTTTATATATACGCTGACTGAGACGAAGCAAACATTGATGGCAGCGAATGGCCCATTAATAATAAATATATCGAAAATTCAAAATCGATTCAGCAACAGTTGATCAAACAAATAGAGAGTTAATACGTTATGCGCCTTAAATCTATGCAATACATTTTGATAATATGCGGAAAGATGATTAATATATTAAAGCTATTTTAAAAGCGGCCGCAAGGAGATTAAATGTGATCAATCTTCTTAGTGCCTTATGAATGCAGGTAGAATGCCTCTTTTTTATTTTCTATATAATTTCCGACAATAATGTGAAAGAATTTTCATTCATCTTCATTTGCGTCTTTACACGTTCTAAATTAAATTATTGAAAAGTGTTGATAGCACCGTTACTTTCTACAATTAGTTTAAAAGAATTAAAAACAGCTGTTTGCCAAAGAGCAAAACAACCGGAAAAAACATCCAGCTGATGTGTTTGCACAAAAAAAAGCATAATTAAAAACTATCTATAAAGACATTTTTTTTTTTTTTTTTGGATATACTGGCAAATTCACGTTGTCGTACCTTTTAAATTAAACAAAAAAAGAAAATTTTCTCGTTCGCGCTCTTTGTTGCGTAAAAATTTGTAAAAAGGATACATTTTCGTTTTGAAAATAAAAATTCTTGCGAGTATCTATCAAAACTTACCAGCTTTAACATCGGTACGTCTCATTGCGTAAATTTATATAAAATTAATCAGTGATATTAATCAGTAATATAATCTTTATTTTAGCGGACGCTGATTGAAATATAAATTATCCAATCTGCCCAATTATATCCCAAGAATCGCTAAAGTTTTTTCAATAAGAACGATTCTTTATGTAAATTGATCAAAAAAATATTTTCTCCTTTACTGATTGAAAGTTATATGATTATTAATTGAAATGAATATTTTTTCCAAGTGACTGCACCGTATTGGAAAAAGTTTCCTAAAATTGATATTAACATACGTCAGTTATAAATAACATAAAATACTCCTTGGTTTCCTAGGTGTTATTCGAAACTATATATATGTTATAAAAAGCCGCATTTGCGTATTTCGAAAAACTATACACTATATATATATAAATAAAATAAAATGATTTTCCAAAAGTTTCCACGTTTTTTGCACATCAGCCGTTTGGCAATGGCGAGTGTCGAAAAAAATTCTTTAGCAACTTTACGCAAAAAGACAGGCTATACATTTGCCAATTGCAAGAAGGCTTTGGAATTGCACAACAATGATATTAAATTGGTACGTAATGTAAACAAAAATGTAGAATACCTAAGTAGAAATATCTTTATAGGCAGAGAAATGGCTAAATGAACAGGCTCAAAGTATGGGCTGGTCGAAAGCTACTAAATTAGCGCAAAGAGTCACTTCTCAAGGTCTGGTAGGTGTTTTGGTACGTGGTAATATCGGGGCCATGGTTGAAGTGAATTGTGAAACTGACTTTGTGGCCCGTAATGAACATTTCAAAATATTTGTGGATCATGTTTCTCGTGTGTGCGCCCAGTACACCGAACTAACACAATTTGATGGCGACCTGTGGAAGGTAAGTAATTATAAATTTATGTTTAAATTGTATTGAAAAACAATCTCTTTTCAAAGTCTGGTTTCGAAGCCGAAGCTTTGCGGAATCTAAAGGCACCGGACGGCAAAAGTTTGGCCGACCATTTAGCTTTGCTAATAGGTGAGATTAAATTGATTTAATTTCTCATACTAACAAAATATGCAAACATTTACATAGTGTTCTTATACAAATATATATTACACAAAAATTAAACAGGAACCGTTGGTGAGAATGCCGCCATTAGACGGGCCATATGTTTCAAGGTTAACAATGATTTAAAACTGTCTGGTTATGCCCACCCTCAAGCCGCGTCAATAGCATCTACACAAAACGTTACGCAAGTTGGTAAATATGGCGCTATTATAGCCTTTCGTACTCCTCATCAAGACGACGAATTGCAAAAAAATCTTTGCCAACATATAATTGGTTTAAATCCACAAAAGGTAGGAGAAGAAGGCAAAGATGAACCATTAAGTAATAAGGATGATGAGACTTCCCTTATCCATCAAGAATTTCTAGTCGATGAAGAGAGAACAGTTGGCGAAGTGCTAAAAGAAAATAATTTAGAAATTATTGATTATCAACGGTACGAATGCGGCGAGGTGGCCAAAAATGAAGAATTAGAACAAGCTAAACTTACCAATTGAATACTATTCAGAAGCGTATGAATGGCTTCCACGTTATGTTGATCACAAAAGAAAAAATTTCATTGTTGAGCATTAAAAAATGAACATAGAAACAATAAATAATAATGTATTAACTGGCATAAGTATGTAAAATTTTGATTGCTTTGATTCGTTTGTCAACAGTGATTATCAGCAAGCCGGTGTTAAATGAATAGCTCGGATTAATAATTATTTTCAACCTATTCAGCGTGGACAAGCGCTATAAAAATCGGGCTTTTCTCCGTACAATTTAAATGGACATGAATAAAAATAAAAGAAGATCCCATGTAATGCTACTAAATTATCATTTTCTCCCTTTAATACGTTCGCGGACAATAAAAATATCAGGGAACTGCAAAATATGACAGTCAATTTTTTTTAAACTAATTGCAATATTCAACGTCTGATTGAAAATATTTTGTACCGGTAGCCGCGATATAATTGTACATATATAAAGAATGCCCTAACATCCTATTAAGTTATTAAAGTTTTATTTAATTAAATAGGAATAATTGGCTTTAAATTTTGAATGCTATAGCATTCATGTTATTTTGCATCTCAATAAAAATGGATACTATGGAATTCTCGTCGGCGACCGTGTTAAAGAGAGATATTAAAATATTCATTAAAACTGTACAAATGCTTTGCGTACCATTGCGAGGAGATCTTGAAAAGCGGGCAATGCGACACAGATTTTCTATTCATAAAAATATTCCATTTTAATAATAGAGACTCTACACCTAATGCAACTTGTTTGCTAAAACTTGACCTTTATAATTTATTTCGATATGGAAAATAGTCTTGGTCAGCGTTTGCGTATAAAATTAGATATAGAGAAACGAATGGAAAAACTTAGGTCGTAAAGTGATATACTGGTATCATGTCTGCTCCAGGGCCTATTAGGAAAATATTTGGTGGCGCCATAACCATTTCGACCTATCAAGCCAGGGCTGCCTACCAAGATTTCCCGGAGACCTTTAAACGGCCAATTAAAGATCAATTAAAAAACATTGCTCACGAACCAATTAGTTCTCTACAAATTTATATGCTTTGTACAAGAAAAACATACTTCTTACATATATTTCCCGGCTTGTAATACTGGCGGCCATCGTAGGATGGCTTTATGCAAATTTCAATTCTTATAGTCTGCAATAACTATCGCTGCTTTACAAGCGATTGCTTTCATTTAGGTTAAGAAAAAAGTATGTACTTAAAACCATTGTACCTTTACATGAATTTAACAGCAAGAAATTGCTGAAATTGTGATCTTCTCTTAGCGTATTAACAACTTTCACTTCAAGCCTAAGTGAGAGTGAAAAAACCAACTCATCAAGTTGAAGTCTAGATTGTTGGTCTGCTTTAAAGGCGCAATCTAAATCAAAACCTAATTTTTTACAGGAAAATAATTCGTGTCAGAACTTTGTACTTAAAAAAGGCCATTCTACAAGGCTATCTATCTGTCTATCTCACAAAGAAGTTTTTGGCCGACAACGAGTAGTGGAAATAACGGCTTCAAGCTGCTAACTTTAATGCAAAAATACTATAAGGTCTCTTATATTATTGCCAAAATCGGAACCACTTGATCTCAACATTGAAAAAAAAAAAAAAACTCCCTGGTTTGAAGATCGCAGACGACCCTTTCTGACAGCAAATATATCTTTCGCATTCTTATATCTTTACTGTATCATATATTTTGTGAAAGCAGAAGTACTCTACATTTTATTACGAAGCGATGTAAGAATTCATTGTTTTTAAAATTAAAATTACATCATGTTTACTTATTAAGAGTCTAATTTCTATTCGCTTTACAGAAGCATATCTACTTAATATTAATCATGCCCTTGTAAATACTCTGCTGCCTCCACATACAAGGGGTTAGCATATATTAGAACTAGCCTTGAGATGTAATACTCATTATGCGATACTCACTTCCTTAATAACAAATGATTACCGAGAGAGAACTGTATTCCATTTTTTAGAGCGAAACTTCTGTTGACAGAAGCCGCAACATATTTTTCCAGACTACATTGTACTTTCACTTACGCTAAGTATGGTTCAAATGGAACCGGCGTCTGTATACATGAAAATACGTTAGGGGTATTTAAAAAAAATTAAATTATACATATTTCTTGCTCTTATTCTACTCTTTGTACCATATACCACTTAAGGATGCATGCGTCATGCAGATAGGCTTGAGGTAGATCGATCGATTCAGAATCACCTTCCGAATCGATTTAGACTTGTCTATCCGCCTTGTTTTCTAATGTTCACTCAGCAGGCCGCAATTTTTGATTCGCATCGGTTCATCTTCATGCCATATAATGCTTCATCTTGAAATGTCGTTGTAAGACTGCCGTTGTGGGGGGTCACGTAGCGTATCCAATGGCGGACCATGGTCCGGTTTAATGTTTTCACTTGGTTTTGAAATGAAGAATGATTAGATACATAAAGTTTCTGCTAAACTCTTCGTATATCGTATCTCTTTCTTTCTGTTTATTTAGTTATGGTAAATTTAATATAAAAAAATTGCTAAATATTTGATTCTAATAAAACGCTAATTAATTGCCAAATATTTAAGTTCACTTTACAAGTTATTATTCATAATTGTTGTCCAATAAGCTTAAGTAGTTAGTCGCTTCTTAAACTTTGTATATAAAACATTATGCGAGCATTTTCTCTTCACTTTACATTAATGATTTTTGTAATAAATTTGGAAATCAATGCTTTTAACATAAGTGAAATCGTTAATAATTTTAATAAGTTTAGTTTTAAAAGAAACAAACGCCAAATACCATTATTGCACAATGGGAGTAAGTATTCTAACGAAATCACATACACAAGGAGCACTGTTTGCATATCTATCTGTTGATTAGGAATAGCAACCTACCAGTTCATCACCGGTTTCGGTGTTCCGGTGGATAATTTACAGTATGAAGCTATAACATCCGGTATGGTATTCAAATTCCAGTACTTCTTGCCCACTCAACTGAATGCTCTAAAATATCACGGTACAACCAATGTCAAAGGCAGGCATGGCGAGGCTATAAAATTCGAATTTAATAAATTCTACTTTTATCAACTCCTCGAGATATGGTTAAACAAGTATATAAAGCATTGGGTAATGTTATCGATTTTAAATATTAACATTGGTTTTATTTACAGCATTGGATTAAATGGGCGATCGTGCGTTTTAAAGAGCATCTGCGAAGCTCACGAAACTCCATTTGATTTGGAATCTGGTCATCTGTGGGACGAACTGGCTCATATTTTCTTTCAGTCTGACGTTTTAAAGCTTTTTTCCTTACAAGAAAATCTTATTTTATTATGTTTTTCAGTCCCTTCTCCACAAGCGATGAATCCGTACCACAGGTAAATAATTCCCAAAAGTGGTTAAACAAAATAACTAATTCCGGCAGCTCTACCTGTGATGACATTTTCAAAGAATGCTCCAAATCAATACTGAGCATATTTACCGAAATTGTCGATTACTTCTAAAATATAAAATAGTTTATTAAACAAGACGTTGTACTCTACTGATTTTTAAAAATATATTTTGAAAAAATATAAACCTAATCAATATAATCTACTAATATGTCTTATAGTCGTCTGAAACACAATATAGATCGCTTTACTTCTATACCCCAAACAGACAAGCTTAAATTAATTCGGAAAATGATTCAGACTTGATCGGTATAATAAAAGATGGATCTATCTAAAGTCCTTCTGACTCTCACATACTTTTGCACAAACATATAGAAGAACTATATGTCGTATATGTCGTGTTGACTTTTCTCGGAAATTTTACGAAATTTTCAGAAAACAGGAAAGAAACGAGAGAGGAGAGGAGAACGCTTTATGGTCATTTTTACGCAGTATTTTGAATAGTCTTGGGTAAAAAAAGAACTGAGAGTTTTCCCCAAAAAGGGTCACATTAACTGTGAGAAATGACTATACATCGAGAAAATTGACGGAGTTTGGCTGGCACGTTCTGGTGCGTCTACCATACAACCCGGACCTTACCATGCGCTAGTACGATTTGTTGATGATGTCGTTCCTATTTTTGTTTTTTTTTGTGGCGGAATTTTGGTGAAAAAGTTATACTTAATCTATTATTTGAAATTGTCTTGAAAGAGTTGTAAAAAATTAAAGAAAAGCATCGGTATTCACATAGTATTAAAATAATGAAGTGAGATGACTACTGTTATCTTGTAAAATTAAATTCTATCAACATTAATAAATTTATATGTAATTATTTCGTTTCGTCGCACAATCAAAAATTAGTGAGTATTTTATAAGGAAATTGGAATCCAATGAACTACTTGCTTGGATTGGGATTATCTGTTTTGGCAAGCAATAATAATTTAAAACTTAAATATCAAGTATACTTAGGAAATAAACAACAATAGTTCGCGTCTCGCCTATGCATCTGCCAAATCCACTTGTTGACTATTAATAAGATGCAAGACTGATAAGAAACAAAATTGCATTTTTAAAAAAATTTGCTTGCCATAGTCTCTTCTCTCTTTTCCTTTCGCCAGTATGATTGTAATGCGTAGCATTGTTTACAAAAAAGCTCAAAAATTTCTGCATAAATTATGATCAAAATACCATCCACAAAATGACTACTAAACACACTTGCACACTTGAACACATGCCTGCCATGCGTGAACGGAAATATAAAAGCGAACGACATCTGTGGGAATTTTGTCACAGCCCTATGCATCATTGTACGGGCAGAGTTAACAGAAAACGAATGTATTAACAGAAAATGTAACAGAAAATGGACGGGTCAACAGAATAGCATATATTAATATAATATTAAAAAATATATTTCTCTTCTTCTTCTCTATGAGTTATTTTTTTTGCTTGACGAAAAGTCATCACAGATCTGAAAGTAAACTTACGTCATAGAATGGATTTGCTATATATTCACCTTAAGCGAGACATGTATCAAATAGTTCAAGTAATTTTCTGAGGCAAAATTTG